ATATATATATATATATATATATATATATATATATATATATATATATATATATATATGCTTCCATTAGGTAAAGTTATTAAACAGCATGGGATAAATTTTCATTGTTATGCTGATGATACACAGTTATTTGTCCATGAAACCCAATGAATCCAATTACTTACTACAAGCATGTCTTAAAGACATAAAAACATGGATGACCCTAAATTTTATGCTTTTGAACACAGACAAGACTGAGTTTTTGGACCTGAGCATTTTAGGAATAAAATTTTCAGTCTTTCTCCCTCCTTAGATGGCATTAATGTGGCCTCCAGTTCTAATGTTAAAAATCTTGGTGTTATTTTAGATCAGGACATGTTTTTTTTATCCCCCACATTAAAAATGTTACTAGAACTGCCTTCTTCCACCTGCGTAATATCACTAAAGTTAGAAACATCTTATCTAAAAATGATGCAGAAAAACTGGTCCATGCATTTGTCACATCTAGGCTGAACTATTGCAATGATTTATTATCGCGTGTCCAAAAACTTCTTTAAAACGTCTCCAGTTAATCCAAAAGGATGATGCCAGAGTTTTAACTGGAGTTAGTGGGAGAGATCACATCTTTCCAGTTTTAGCTTCTCTCCATTGGCTCCTGTCAAGTCCAGAGTTGAATTCAAAATCTTACTTCAAACCTAAAAAGCTCTCAACAACCTAGCTCCATCTTATATTCAATATCTTATTGTTCCATATTTTCCTAACAGAGCCCTTCACTCACAGACTGCAGTGGTTCCTACAGTTTCCAAAAGCAGAATGGGAGGAAGATCTTTCAGTCGTCAGGCTCCTCTCTTGTGGAACTAACTTCAAGTTTCTGTCTGTAAGGCTGACACATTGTCCAGACTGGACTTAAGACTTTTATGTTGATCAATCCTATAATTAAGGTTGGCATGTTATGCTGCTATCAGCTTAGACTACTAGAGGACAAACTGACCTCATTTCCCTAAATGATTTGCTAAAATGGAATCGTTTTCATTTGATACTATTTCTATCTTAACATGTGATTCTTGACCTGCCATTGTGTATCTGTTCCTCTCAAACCCAGCCGGTTGAAGCAGAGTGTCCTGAGCCTGGTTCTGCTAAAGGTTTCTTCCTCATGAGGGAGTTTTTTCTTTCCACTGTCGCCTTCATGCTTGCTCAAGATGAGAGTTCTGTGATGGAGTTAAAGTCAAAACAGTCTGCTCCTCAGATAAATAATGTTAAATTATTATTTTTATATACGAATGTTTCTGTTCGGTGTGTATATATACTGTACATATAGGGTATACTGTACATATATATATCACTTATATACTGCAGGTGGTCCTTGTGTCTCAGTGAGACTAACCTGTATAAATAAAAGTTGAATGAATACGGGCCGCCATCCTTTCGCTTAAATTGACATCGAAAAACTCCTTTTTCTTATTACTTAAAAAAAAAAATGTAACACTACAGAAGATATCGAACGATGTTCAGTCAGGTCATCTGGACAGTTCCTTTTTTGTTGAGAGACATTTCACCATCCATTCGACTGATTGGTCCACTGTAGGAGTGTACTGCAAACACTTTGTACGCGACTTCTCAGACTGATGAAGCCCTTCGGATGGATTGGATTTCTTTGTCTGGATTATTGAGCATGAACTTTGAAGAGCACAAAAGATAGTCTAGTTTTTTCTTCGATAACTAAAACAGTTTATAAATAAATTTTACTCACTTAAATTCATTACAAGTTCTTACAAGCGTTTGATATTTACAGCAAAATTAGAAGCACATTTGTGAAGCTTTTCAAAAATAAATAAAATTTCCTAGGTTCCGCGAATGCATCAATCGTCAGGTTGTGGTGACGTCAAGGTTCAGGAAGTAAACAATAACCAACGGCGACGGAGTCAGGTTGTTGTTTTTTTCCTCTTCTCTGCTTTAGTAAAACATGAGCTCATTCTACAGACTATTCGTTTCTATTGATCGTGATTGTATTTAATTATTTATTTATTTGTTATTGGTTGTTTTTATTTACTCTCAGTTTATTTTGAGGCACAAAGTCACTTCCGGTCCTCGATGCACCGTTAGCTGACTGTGACGCTAGTATTCATTCAGTATATTAAAATATTTGACTTTTTACGGCATTTCAATGAATATGGGACATGTTTTTGACGCATTAACATCATGAAAAATGCCCCTTAATCAATCAAACCAACTTTTGACCCAAGAAAAGTGTCTGTCATATGTTACTTGTAACTTATGTGTTTACTTCTGATAATTATTAGATTTTAATTGGTCCAATTTGGCCCTTTTTACTATCAAACATCTCTAGATTATTTCACTAATAACTGTGCAAGTTTTAGTTGTGTAATTAGAATTCCTGGCCTGAATTTTTTTGCTTGTTGTGTTTGTTTCACCTAAAATAACTTTATTAATCCCAAACGTTGACTTTTCTGCTCTTTGTTTGGTGTTTACATCAGGATCATTTCTGCAGTTCAGTCACAAACTCACTGTTTCTTGTTGGTTGTTTGCATTTTTCAGTGGTATTTCTGAAATCTTCTGTCCAAAACAGACAAGATAAAGACATTAAAGGTAAAAAACATAAAATTTGATGTTTATGTTTAAAGAGAAACATATTATTGTATAATGTCTTTATTGTGTCTTTGAAGAAATATAACCATTAGATAATTTTCAACACAAACTGACTAAGAACTGATTCATCCTTAAATATATAAATACGGCAGTAGATTATTTGCAGAATTAACAAAACAAAAGATACAAAACCCTCTGTTTGTTCAGGATGCAGCCATCAGAGGACTGACCAAACCTGCTGGTTTGAGTCTGCAGCTTTCCAGTTAATTCAACACAACTTTATTTATAAAGCACTTTAAAAACAACACTGTTGGTCAAAGTGCTGTACATTAATATAAAAAGAAAAACTACAGAATCTAATAAAACAATAACAAACAAAAAATATTAAAGAATAAAATCCATCCATCCATTGGCTTTACCCACTTTTTCCTCTTTGGCTCATGGGGGTCACTGGTGCCCATGTCCAACAATCACTGTGCGAGAGGCGGGATACACCCTGGACAGGTCTCCAGTCCATCACAGGGACACATAGAGACAAACGAGACAAACAACCTTTCACTCTTTCACTAAGAGACATTTTAGAGTTACCAATGAACCTAACGTGCATGTTCTTGGTCACACAGCACATAGAGGACATGCAAACTCCACCCAGAAAGGCTGGTAGTCAAACCATTGTCCTTGTAGCTAAGTGGCGACAGCTCTAACCAGGATAATCACTGTGAAAAAAAACACTGTAATGCCACTTTGACTGGTGATATGAGCTGCTGATTATCCTTGCTGCTGATCTCATGCTGCTGATTATTTCATGCTGCTGTATTCATTTGTATTAATCTGCTCACACAGACTCATGTTCGTGCTGCTGTTGTTCGGCATATTGTTTTTGCACTATTGGTGTTTAGCGTATTTCTTAGTTCACATCTTAGATCCTTGTATACCGTTTCTGTTTATACTTTACATTTTTGCTATTTTTGGGTGTAACTGGGACCTTGAGTACACAATTTAATTCCACCGCATGTACCACATATGATGTGAATGATAATTAAAAAAAACATTTGAACTTGAACTAAAGATGGCTGTATTTTCTAACAGCCTTGGCCAGCTGCTCCTCACCTGCTGTCCCACATGAACACGCCCACAAAGTTCTGACCAATCGCACAATATCTGGCGCACCCCCGTGAGAAAAAAGTTCTGCCACGTTGGTTGCGCACAGAACCTGTTCTTTGGGCGGTGCAAGAACTAAAAGACGCAGCTTTTAGTCACACAATTATGTCAGCAAGAAACATCTTCAGCCCGTCTTCAGCCTGAAAGTTCATGTAGACTCGGTGCTTTCAGTCCCTCTGGTCCAGTTCTCTGGGACTCTCAGCCACCAGAACCCAGGACTGATCCAGCAGGGTCTTGTTTGATAAGCAAACTGAAATCTTTTCTCTCAACCTTTCACTTACAGTGGTGACTTAATGAATAAGTTTAGTAATTTAGTTTTTATTGTTCAAGTTTATATTTCGTTGTGGACTTACATGTTTTTAAACTTATTGTAGATTTATTTTTAGCTTCAGTGTCCACATTATTTATTTATTTATACAACACAACTTTAAGCACACTGAGTTTATGATATTCTGCTCATCTCTTGCTGATTTATTTTATTTTGTTTCTAATTGAATGACTGATCCTCCCTCTCTGAAGGTTGAACTTCAGGCCCGGTTCTGCAGATGGCGTCTCTGATCTGCACCTTACAGGACCACCAGGACGATGTCAACTGGTGTTCCTTCTCATCCAAACTGTTAGCCACGTGCTCCGGGGACAAAACCCTCCGTGTCTACAACACCCGGGACTTCTCCGAGCTGCCGTTCTCGCCGCTGACGGGACACGGCTACGGTGTCCACTGCTGCTGCTTCAGCCCCTGCGGGCAGTTCCTCATCTCCTGCTCCACGGACGCCACCACGATGGTTTGGTCCACGACCACGGGTGACATCGAGGCCGTCATGGAGCATCCCGGTCGCAGCCCCGTCAGGATCTGTGCGCTGTCTCCGGACTCCCTCCACCTGGTTTCCGGTGCGTCTGACGGGACTTTGGCTCTCTGGGATTTCCCCTCCAAACAGCTGCGCAGGTAAATAAAAAAACAACAATAAAATTCTCCTCTGCATCAAAAGCAGTCAGTTCAGGTGGTTAGGTTGTACTGATGTTGGGAAAACCGGCCCATAAAATTGAACTTGTTTGTTTTTGTTCTGAAGAACCGGGGGAGTGAGCGACACCACCATGGTGGCCTGCTCCTTCAGCCCCTGCAGTCAGATCTTCGTGACCGGCTCCACCTACGGAGACCTTCGTTTGTGGAACCTGGACTTGAACCAGCTCCACGCTGAGAAGAACGCCCATGACCTGGGGGTCTCCTGCTGCACCTTCGCTCCCAGCATCCTCAGCGGTCTGTCCCCGTCAGGTCATCAGCTGTCTGTTGGTTTCAGTGGGTTTTTAACAACACAGAGTCGTTCAAAAGTTACATTTGAATCTCGCTGGCGTTAAATAATTGTGCCTCGTTGCGGAATGAAGAAGAAGAAGGGGAAATACGCTCCATCTGTTCGTCTTGTGAGCATGATAACTTGAAAAGTAAGTGAGGTACCGACTGCCTTGGCTACATCTAGATGTAAGACAGGTCACGATCAAAAATTGGGTTGCCATGCCAAAATCCAAGATGTCTGCCACCATATGTGTGTGTGGGTGTTTATGTGTAAACCAGCCAGTCCAATTATTAGAGGAAACTATGCTTTCTAGTTTTAATAGTGCTTAAAAATATAGTTTTCTCATATGAATGGGGAGGCCAAAGATTGATCTAAGGGGGCCAAGCCCCCCCCCCCCCCCCCCCCCCCCCGGCTCCCCCTGTTGCACCTGGTGGTGGATGAAACTGCTCCCTCCACTCGCCAGGATTTGTCACTCTGCTCTGCCAAACCCTTCTCTGTTCTGCTCCACAGTGTAACTCCTCCCCCCGTGAATGTCTTTCACCAAAAACATTTAGGTTTACTTCCACTCCCTGTTCGATTCCAGTCCAGAAAAACACTCATCTTCAAAACTACAAACATTCACCGTACAAATAACTCAGGGACGGGGGACATCAGCGTACCGCTTCTTTATTTTAGTTTTCAAGAAGGAAAAGATGAGCCGGTCTCGCTCTTCAGGGGGATGTTAGCTCTGAATTATTGTTGTCATCTACATTAGTGTGACGTGGAAACATTTTAGTCACTGTTTCCTGTCGGTCGGTACAAAGTTGTCAGAAAATCACGTGTTGGAGGGAAAACATAAAAACGAGATTTGGCCACTGTGTTTTTAAAACATGTCAGGATGGTGAGTGTTTTGTGACTTTATTTCACTTATTTACCTATTTGGGGTGTTTTACAGCTGCGACGCTCTTATGACCCGCCCACATCGAGGCAGCACTCCGTTAAATGAAAAACTAGAGACCGAGTGGGGCAAAGACTGGACGATGGAAAACTGGCGAAATTAGGAAAGATTAGGTCGAAGCCAACCCACTCCTGATGCTCCTTTGTGCCATAAAGTGAGGTAGTAACAGAGCCTAAACAGCTGACAAACAGAAAGACGGCACCGCAGCTCAGGGATGTGATGAAGTGATGACATCAGGTCTGTGGGACCACCAGGATCAAAGAACAGATTTATTACAGAGGGAAGATTGATGATGACGCACAGCAACTCTGTATTTAGCTTAAAAATGAGGTAACGACAAATAGAACCACTAAACCAAGTTAATTCATGATGTTTGGAAGGCGGACGTTCATCACACGTTGAATAAGCTGAAGCTCTGTGTCGACCCAGCTGAGTTCTGCTCCACACCTCTTGGTTCTGTGATGCTCGCTTCAATAAGTTAGAGTGTAATGTTTTACGCTTTCACTGTCGATGTCATTAAATATGTTTAAAAAGGCTTTAAACTGTCATTATAACAGGACTCAATTTGATTAGCTGATTTGTGCAGAAACCCTAAAATCTGACGGTACAAAAGGATGAGCGTTTGAGTTTCTGCCCAGAGTCAACAGAACGGACTGGTTTAAAATCTGCCTGCAGTAAGAATGGTCCGTTTATTTTGTTCCTTCTGGACTCTCAGGTGGTCAGCTGGTGCAGTTTCGTTTGGCCTCCTGTGGGCAGGACAGTCACTTGAAGATATGGGCCGTTAACAAGTTCAGCTCCGGAGGTAAAGATCTTTAATTAACTGTAAAAATGTCACAGTAAAAGTGCCATCACTCCCTCCTTTTATTCATCTACAATTATGATTATTATTATTATTTATATCTACAAAATAGGAAGCGAAGATGAATCTCTGCTTCGTGTTTTTTTTTAATAAATTGATCCACACCAGCAGGTCGGTTCTGCTACAGAAAATGTTCCCGTCTTTTTAAATTTTTAAAAAATCATAGGATGGTTTTTAAAAACTCTAGTCATGACTTTGTAGTAATATATTGTGTAAAAATACTTTGTAAACTGTGTGAGTCGAGCTGTTGTTTTATGATTGCAGCCTATCAGATGCAGCTGCTGCACACGCTAACGGCTCAGTCGGCTCCGGTCCTCTGCTGCTCATTCTCCTCAGACGGACAGCTGCTCATTTCTGGGTACGAGACTAAAGAAAGCTAAAGAAATGATATTTTCTGCAAAAAACACAGCTAAAGGACAGCTGAAACGTGCTAAAATTATTTGGTGAAGCCTAAAAAAACAACAAACACTGGCTAAATGTAGCAAAAGGCTAAAAGCTAAAAGAAACAAAAGGCTTGAGAAAGCTAAAGTAACAATTAGCAAAAAGTATCAGAAATGTAATTAAAAGCTAAAAATAGCTAAATGTTAACTAAAAGTTTAAGTAGTAGCAGGGTAGTTAAAAGCTCAAATAGTAGTTCTAATAAAGCTAGCCAAATGTTAAAAAAATGGGTAGCTAAAAGCAGCAGAACAGTAGCTAAAAGTAACAAAATGTTGACATTAAACCAAAAGTACCAAAAAGTAGCAGAAGGAAACATAAAAGTAACAAAAAGCTAACTTAAAGATAAAAGTAGAAAACTGATGTTTTGAAGCTAAAAGTAAAAGCTCATTAGCCAAACGCTAAAGGTTGCAAAATCCTAGCTAAAAGTAACAAAAGGCTAACTAAAAGCTCAAGGAAACAAAAGGCTAGATGATAGCTAACAAGGCAAAATACTAACAAAGTATCAGAAAGTATCAGCTAAAAGCTACAATTAACACAATGCTAGTTTAAGACTGTAAGTAGTAGAAAAGTAGCTAAAAGTAACAAAAAGTTAACCAAAAACTATAAGTAAGGCTAATTAAAAGCTAAAAGTAGCAGAAGGAAATCTAAAAGTAGCAAAAAACTAACCTAAAATTAAAAATAGCAAACCATTATTTAGAAGCTAAAAGTAGTGACTCAGTAGCCAAATACTAAAAGTTACTAGAGGCTAGCTAAACCTAACAAAAGGCTAGCTAGCTAAAGGCTATAGGTGGCAAAAGGCTAGCTAATAGCCAAAATCAACAAAAATCTAGATAAAAGCTAAAAATGCAATAAGCTAACTGTCAGAAATGTAACTGAAGGATAGATATAGCAATAGGTTAGCTAAAGAGTAAGTAGCAGAATGAGCTAAAAGTAACAAAAGGGTAGCTAAAAGCTTGAAATTGCAAATCAGTAGCTAGAAGTTAAAAGTATTTGCAGTTTAGCTAAAGGCTAAAATAAGTCAAATGCTAATTACAGGTGTCAAAAGTCTAGCTTAAAATATAACAGTAGCTAAAAGTACAGGTCTCTCTTGTGATTCAATGTGACTAACCGTATAAATAAAGGTTGAATGAAAAGTAGCAAAAGACTAGCTAAAAAGCACAGGAGAGTCACCAAAAATTAGCTTAAGAAGATTGAAACGGCGTCAGTAGCTGAAGCAGATTTCAGAGAACGTGTTTAAATGAACTGAAGATGGTCTCTGTGTATTTCTATGGTGAAAATGTTAGTAAATAAAGTTAAATATTATTTAGTTTAGCTTCCATGTCCAGAATGATCCAAAAATTTGGATACATGGGCGACCAATCAAAGTATTCAGAGATTTTTAAAATGCAAAAAGAAAAACAAAAATAAATAAATAAAAAAACCAGGGAAACGGTGAACGTTGACTCAGCCGTCACAAAGTAAACAATCATATATTCTCTTCATAACATCCACAATGTTCTGTTTATTTCAACATTTTGTGAATTTCAACTTTGCAGAAAGTTGCTTTAAATGTTAAATTGTGTTTTTGTTTATTTTCTGGTAACATGGAGGTTTATGAATCGTTCACACTGCGGTCACAGAAGACGTTATTTAAACATTTAATCACTTTAGGTTTCCAGCTATTGTCACTCCCTCGTGGGAGTTTTAATTTTCCTGCCATAAATATGATAAAATCCACACCATAAATCACTGAGCTCATCTTAAATAGGCCACCTTCTGTCGTTGCAGTTCTGCCTTTCAGCCCCTAGAGGGAGACATTTACCAACATGTGTCACTGAAACATTTTATTTTCCCATTTCTCAGATCTGTGGACAAAAGCGTTGCGGTTTATGACACTGTGAGTACTTTTATTTTTTAAATAATAAATAATAATCCCTTTAATCTTCAGCTGCAGGTCTCATGCTTCTTTTCTCTCCAGAATAAAGCAGCTTTGCTTCACAAACTGAACCACCACAAGAGGTAAATATTTATATTGATACATAAATGTTCAGTTCAGGGGTTTTAGGACAATAAAAGAGAACTGGTTCCATCTCCAATCATTAGCCGTCCTCCACGGTGCTGACAGGTGATATGAGATGTTGCTGCTGTGCATTGTGGGTAAACAATGATGAGCTGAGTTAATTTGAGTTAATTGATTGTTCTGAAAACGACATTGAAGTCCATATTTTTATGAAACTTTATGAGTTTGTGCAGAATTCCTTAATTCAATCTTGCATTTTGGTTCCTGGCTTCATTTCTAAACAGAAAAAGACCCGGTGACGTTGTGGGGTACATTTTTCTCAGATTTGATGCCACAAATGATTTGAATTTAGTAAAAGGTGGGACCGTTCTGGTTCCACACAAAGCCAGCAGTCCCAGATGAACGATCCGTTTTGGATCCAGCCACCTGTGTGTGAAAGGCTCGGGGCTCCTTTCAGCCGAGTGGAAGAAGGAAGATGAACGCAGAAAATAAAACTTCTCACAAAATGCCTCCAGGAAACTCCTTTTACTTCCAGGCAGTTCTTCAAAACGCTCACAGAAGGGCTTGATTGTGGATCTTCTCTCTGCTCTTTGTGTGAAGCCGAGCAGCTTTTGTGGACTTCTCTGCGACCCGGCTCGGGTTTTACAGAACCTGCCCTCATTGACTTCACTGTCTTATTCTGAAATCAGAGGAAAATTTAATTTGAATCCTGATTTAGATCAAAGATGCAGCCAGCTGGCTGAAGGAGGAAACTTCCAGCGCTGCCGCAGTATCTTATTCACATAATACTGTACTGTAGTACTGCAGTGATAGTACTGTAGTGATAGTACTGTAATAGTACTGTTTCCATAGTACAGTAGTTATAGTATTGCAGTGATAGTACTGCAATTCTATTAACATAGTGACAGTACTGCAGTGATTGTACTGCATTGATAGTACTGCAGTGGTGGTACTGTAGTGGTAGTACTGTAGTGATAATACAATAGTGATAGCCCTGCAGTGATAGTACTGTAGTGATAGTACTGCATTGATAATACAATACTGATTGTACTGCAGTGACAGTACTGCATTGATAATACAATAGTGATAGTACTGTAGTGATAGTACTGTAGTGATAATACAATAGTGATAGTGCTGTAGTGATAGTACTGCAGTGATAGCCCTGCAGTGATAGTACTGTAGTGATAGTACTGTTATTGATAGTACTGGAGTGATATAGTACTGTAGTGATAGTACTGTTATTGATAGTACTGCAGTGATATAGTACTGTAGTGATAGTACTGTTATTGATAGTACTGCAGTGATATAGTACTGTTAGTGATAGTACCGTTTTCATTGTTCTGTAGTCAGTATCGCAGTGCATTACTATTACTGTGGTACTATCACTGCAGTAATATGACAACAGTACTATCGCTGCACTGCTATGTCTACAGTACTATGACTACAGTATTATCACTGCAGTACCCTTACTGTGGTACTATGACTACAGTACTATCACTGCAGTACTATGACT